AGAAAGACCTTACTTTAAAAATAATCAAAAATCTCCTCACCTTGGGTTAAGTAAGAAATTGCAAGAGGAAGAAAGCTTTTAACAAAATGTACCCTCACCACCCGCAAAGCAAGACCCAGCTGAAAAATCTGAAAAGTCTATTGACTAACACTATCCTGTGAAGAAAAAAAGAAGCACACTAAAGTGAAAATAGGTAAGTAACAGCACTAACCCCAAATAAAGCACTGAAAATATCTGGTGGAAGAAAATAGCAATATTTTAAATAGATACGCCTATTTGCATTATTTTGTTAATTAGCAACATTATTCAGAGAAACAACATCTTATTATTTGATGTGTTAAAGATGATTCTTCTCATGCTAAAAGCCAAATAAGGATTAAACTACTGACCACTTCTGTGTAAAATATTAAAGAGAAGGGAAAAAAAAAAGACCATTGTGATTTATACCAAACTTCTTTTGTTTGCTTTTAGAAGGGGTGAAGCCCTTCGCAAATAGAAGTGCTTCCACGGTAGCAGTACTTGTTCCCAGGAAACTTGGTGTTACAGTACTTGAGCAGAACTACGAAGCAATTCTTCATAAAAACAGCAACGTCCCTTCCGTGGCTTGAAGTTCCGATCAATCCTCGAATCAGAAGCCTTTCTTGTAAAAAGTGCATCACTTAGTAACCATAGTTATTGAACCACACAGCTCTTTTAAGACCCTCCTTTATACAATGCTACTAAACTATTATTAAACTTTCAAGTCATAATTAATGGCTAAATTATGCTATTACTGAAGGTAGCAAATTAAGTTCGAATAATCTTAAATCTTAACTGATTTTTAAAACAACTTCACTTTGATTTGCCCTAAGCCTAAACTTCACTACATATTTTGACAACTAAAAGGTTAGATTTAGAGTTTACCTCTTCCCAAAAGTCTTAAGGTAAAATACATTTCAGAGTCATACTAGCATTACTGTTTGGGGATGCTAATTTACATTATTTTTCCAACTATAATGTAAAACATTTTTCTACATTACTAATGAAGACTGATCTCAGGGTTTCAAAAACTTTTTAAAGTTTCAACTATTTGAATATTACATAGGCTTTTTTCTTTAAGGTTAACATGAAGCTTTGGGGGAGAAATATGCTTTCAATGTTACTTTTTAAAGAAAATTTGCCTACCATCTTGCAGCTAATTGAGTTTGCTGAAATTAAACATCTAGTTTGATAAAGGTTAAGTACTTTTTTAGTTCACTCTAAAAATACTCATTATTTCCCCCAGTAAATAAACTAATCTCTATGTTCTATTTACTGTCACATCCACTATCTTCCAATTGTTTTGTTTTGTTTTTTCCTACCACCGTATCCAACAGTTTCACCAGCGTTTTTCTACCTAAATCACTGTGGCACCATGGGCCATTCTTCCCCGGGGTGCCCATCCACCGAGCAGAAGCAAGCATTTTTTCTGAGAGCTGAGGGCATACTTTTATCTTCTTTCTCCACTCAGCCTCAATCAGCAAGGTAAATGGGCAGGGACAGTCCTTCCCTCAAATAGGGAAATACTCTGCTTTCGGATTTTTAAAACTGAAGTATAACTGACTTATTATATTAGGGAAATGTTTTGTGATTGCAATTTCAACTGTTTATGGTTATTTTTTTCTTTTGGCAGCTTAATCAACAGTTAAGGACAATATTACAAGCGTTTCATTCTTAAAGGGAAATCATTTGGGTTACAGTTGATAAAACAAGAAACCAAAAAAAAGAACAGCCTTACTCTCAATGAAACTGTTCCTTTTTAAAACATCTAATCTTTATTACGGTAACAATGTATACACTGTATGTGTTCATAGTCTTCTGCTGGGCAAGTGTTTGGGAGAAGAAGCAAGACCAAATTACGATAACAAGAAACAGTTTAATTCGTCACCTTTAATTGATACATGTCTGAAGTAGCTTTAATTAGGGCAGTGGAGCATTCATTTCTGAAACAAGATACATGGTCAAAAGAAAAAGAATCAAACCATTTGTAGCAATTAATAACACTTGCAAGGTAAGTTCATTTAATGTTGGAATACTGGCTGAGTTATATGCTGCGGAATGCAAAAAATCTCTGAAAAATATACCTTTTTAAACTGTGAATCAAGATACTCAATATAACTTCTAATAAAATCCCAGCCACAAGAAACCTTGAATGTTCAAGGATTAAAAACACTGAGGCCAGTTATTCAGAAAATGATAGATAGTAGAAATGAAACAAAAATGACTTCTTAAAAATTAGAGGCTTATTAAAACAATGCAAATCTCCACACTTCTAAAATTACTGGATGAGATTTCTAAAATCAAATTATAAGGTCCTATATGGTACATTTTACACAAGAAGTTCTTTGTATGTGGTAATAGTTGCAAGGCATCAGAGTCAATAAAATAAATCTGAGAAGTAAGAGCACTCCTTGTAACAAGAAATATTATAGAATACTAATTCAGGAAGTTATTCAGCAGCTTATAAAGAAATAGGAAGTTGTTGACCAACTACTTGAAGAACTATTTCCTGTAGGAAAACTGTAAGACAGATGAAGAAAGCAATAATTCTCAGAGCAATAAAAAAATTCTTTTAAAATAAAGCTCAATACACAATGTTGAAGAAATTAGTTTTAAACAGTAAATTCAGTAGAACAAATATACCCAATATACAGACTAAGCTTTTCAAAATTACTTCACAATCATACCAGAACTTGAATATGTGTCATTGATAAATGTAGCCAGTACCATACTTCCTCCTTATCACTTGCCAACCTAAGGTACAAGTCTTCCTCAGAAAATCTCACTGACCTAGGCAGGGCTTTAAAAATCCCAATAGTTGCCTACCTATAATCCTTCAGTAATTATGCTGCCTTGAAACAATAGGATGGGCCAACTGACTTCAAAG